TCCTCTTCTAAGAAGAAACTCGAAACTGCACATAAGAACTAAATGTATGTTATATCTCACTATGATTCCACCCATTTTACTATATGGTATTACTGCCTGGAGCACTGTTGCTAAAATCTATCGTAAAAAATTAGAAGTTTTTCAAAATAAATTACTAAGGGTGACTTTAAACTCTCCATGGTATGTTCGGAACAAGCAAATACTTAAAGAAATGTAGTTCGATTCTATACATGACGAAACACTTTCTACTTGCCATATTTTTTTCCAGAAAATGCAAAATTCAGGATACCACCGTATACGAGACCTTTTAAGCTGTGACCCAATTATTGAACATACTGTCAAAAGGCCAAGACTCCTCCATCACAATCCAAAATGGTCAATTTTTAATTGTTTTTCAAGTTTAAATCTTCAAAGGCTCATTTTCCAGCAGCATCGCGGTGGTCAGCACCTGAGTGTGTGACCGCCCACGTGACTGACACGGATGAATCATCTTTCTTCTGTGTTTACGTTTATTTACCACCAGACAGAACAGGTTATGGACTCTGTTTCTTCAATTTTTTACAAAATATGTACATTGCTCTTCAAGTATTCATTTATTATCATCATTTTCAAATATGTTTTTCAAGTTTATGTGTTTTGTCATCCGGTTATAGACTTTGGAATGCCTGACTTAACCACTTCACCGTTTGCCCCGATAGAGTATCGTCAGTTTGAAATGTTTATTTAACCGTCAGCGACGGCAGACTATCGTCGAGGTGAAATTTGGCATGAACCGTGACCCCCGAGAGAGATTCGACGCTTCTTATTTTTCCTACCCCTCAGTACCAGTCGAAAAGGAAAAGAAGTGATTGATGGCTTAATTGACCAGACTCACTCCACAGATTGTACCTGAAAAGCAAACGACGGGGGATCGCTTTTTCTGAGGGAATAATCCCCCTTAACACAGATTTCGAGAGATGCACAACAATTCACCACCTTCCCATTAACTGACAAAGAAGTCTGAAGGTTTTAATGCTATCCTTTCAAATCCGAACGTGGCCTTTTTTTTTTTTTTTTTTTTTTTTTTTTTTTTGAGTACATACACTGTATACTCTGAACTCTTTCTGAAGTAATAAGAATTCGCATAGAAATAATTCCCTTACCCCTTCATGATTAACTTAGTATAAATAAAATATTTTCTGTTTTAATTTTGATTCCTTGAAGAATTTTTTTTTAACTTTTGAATGTAGAGAAATGAATTCACTTTTGAAAAACGTACACTTTTTCATGTTATTTGGCTGTTTTTTTTAGTTGAAGTGATTGTATTCGCTTTTTGTTTTATTTTATTACTGTGAGAAGTAAAGGAAGTTTATAAGCGCGAAAATTTTTGGGGTTCATATTTCATCGGAAATATCCATTTTGGCCCGTTCCCAAATCCATTTTCACACAATCTTTTTCCAACTGTGCGTACGGGCAGAATAAAGAAGTCATTTTTTTTTTAAATGGGTAGTTAAACAGTAAAATAGATTCAAATAGATTTTTTTTTTCCTGACATCTGTATGGTACGTACATACGTATGTATGTATCTCGCATAACTCAAAAACGATTAGTCACAATACATGCAGATTCTTTATTATTTAATTTCTTTAAAAATAATGCAAGGCGATAACATACTTGGTGGGAACAATTTAAAAATGATTCAGACATTTAAATTGACAGACGAAAAATCCCGATATGAGATTAATAGCGCTTTTGGGCTAATAATTAAATGTATGAAAATATATGAGAAGTAATTCGAGCGTGTTTTATTACAGTGCATTAAGAAAATAGTAGCAAAACATTATTTATAGCTATTTCAAATAAGCAAAATATACTGATTTTTGCTTAATTAACAAAGCTTTTATTTCACAATCAAAAATGGCATTTGCATTTGAATACTTTCAATCGATTTTACTCTTCTTACTAATTATCAGATGCAAATCGAAAAGTCCTAAAATGCATAGCATTAGATGAGACGGATGCGAGTTTTTAACACGTTTTATCATCACATCATTACCCTGAATACAACACAACACACATTTATATATATATATATTATATAAGATATTAAGATATTTTATTTATTTTTATGTAAGATTTTTAATTTAGGAATATTTCGTACGAATATAGTTTTATTATTTATAAATGATGTATGATATATTACACTTTAAAATTATTCCTATATTTAAAATAATTATAAAAACAGATTTCCAGGGACGACATAGCTTGGTCTTAAATGGTAGTGTGGTCAAGCTGATAATATCTCCTCTACGAGGTACCAGCTTTTGTGTTCGATGGTCGCCTTTATGGGTTGTCACGACGTCCTTGAGTGTGACAAGTACGGGGTTCAGGTTCATTTCAATAGAATTTCTCAATAACCCTCACAGGTAGTGGAAGGGGGAAGGAAATATTTCTCTCGTTAACTGAGCTAAATTTCATTCAGACATAAATGTTTACCTTTGGAAGAGAAAAATGGTACAAAATATAGAAGTTTTGCTCGCCGGTGAAGTGGTTAAGCAGGTTTTGGACTTAGTGGCTTGTGTTGTGTATTTCTATCTTCAAATCGTTTTTATTGCAAGTGTAAAACCACAACATATTTCAAATATTACAAGAAATGTGTGTTCTCCATCTGTAAATTTTATTTTCATAGTCCTTATACTGACTGAGTTTTCCCTACAACATCTCAAGCTCACGATTAAATCCTTTGTGTTCACTTAAAGAGTGTTTTGTTCGTTAGATGGCGGCTCTAGTCCATGAATTCACCTTTTCGGCGTGAGCATTTTTGTACTCTTAACTTTAAAATAACACCAGTGCCCTCGGGTAAAAACTTCATATAGAAGTAAAAGCATATTTTAAATGCTAAATGCCTATTGTATCCCTGATGACCAATGATCAATAGCTGTTTAACCTTTTGTTTGCATTTTTACGTCCTTTTTACGTCCGTTATGGAAAATATAGAAACTGCTAATAAAAAGAAACTTGTGCAGCGTAAACGCAATTTTAAAAAAAAAATGAAGGTCATGTATTTGTTTAGATGCTTTTTCATTTAAGTGTCTGAATAAGAACATAACCTTTAATTTAGCTTCTCAAAAATTAATATCATAACAACAACATAAATGTGAAAAGGGGGCGACGTTCGGGAGAAACGACGTTCGGTGTAGTCGGTATTACCGATAAAACAATTCAGATCTAAAGAATGGTCAAGTTCCATAGCAGCTCTCTTAATCATAGCTGTAGGAATGTGCAATTTTCTTCAAAAAACAATTAAAAAACAATTTATTACTTTCTTTTAAAAAACAATTTATTACTTCCTTTGAGATCGGATTCCTAACTTTGCAAATTTTAATTTTTAATAAATTAAATTCAAAAAATTTGACTTCTCCAGTTCGAATTAACTTGCCAGGTTAGAAATCCGATATCAAAGAAACTAATAAATTGCTTTACAACTAAATTGAAGAACGTTGTTCATTCCTACAACTATGATTAAATGAACTGCTATGGAACGTGCCAAAAAAATCCATTAGATCTCAACTGTTTTGTCGGTGACACCGATTACTTCGAACGTCGTTTCTCCCGAACATGGCCCCTTTTCACATTTATATTGTTGTTACGGAATCTGAAACGCAGAAATCCATCAAAAGCAAAAATTAACAACAAATTTAGTTCAATTTAGTTCATCAATTAGTTCATCAATTTAGTTAACATCAATTTAGTTCTCAATTACAGAAACTTATCCTTCATTGTGTAGGAAAACTATTAGTAGCAAATTATAAAGATGCTCTTAGTATGAGAATTTATATTTCCGAAAAAGTAGAAGTTCTTATATGAAGAAGAAATGAGTAGTAAATACAAGAATATGCTATACTTAATTGTTTGTTGAATAATAGAAGCAGTGAAATCCATACACTGATTCTACGAGGAATTCTAGGCTTCATCGATTTGTTTAACTGAATTAGACAAATTACAAAAAAGCTATCTGCCTACAGGAAAGGATGCTGTTGTTGAAGAGCCCCTAAAAAAGAATCTGACTAGCATTGAGAATAAGGGCTAGCGTGGAAATCTGGCTAGCATGGAAAAAATAATGGAAAAACCGATGCAAATAGCATGTTGTCCAGGTTTCGAATCTGAGACGAAAGAAAAAATGTTTTGCGGTCTTATCCACTCGGACACTGGCAGGTGATTTTCTAGATACAACTGTATTTTTAAAAAATTGTGAATTGATTTTTTAAAAGTATTTTATACGATTTATAGGTTAAAGAACAATTAATACTGAATTTGTAAACTTAAAACTTAAATCAGTTGTTATTGTTGATTCAAATGGCCCGCCACTTACATTCCGTTATGCAGACAACAGCTTGGGAAACTGATCCGTGGGTCACCTGCCCTGTATCCCTAGTATAACAATTCTGGTGGGAACTTTCGGCTGACCAGCATTTTTAGTGTCCCCATGAATGCACAGACAGTATATCCTAACAAAAATTCAAACCTTTCACAATTACTGGCCCGCTAGGCCCGAGCGGTAATTTCACTAAACGCTGATAGTTCGACATAGTTTTGATTCCTAGCAAACAAGCTGGCTGCATGGACGTTTTCTGGGTTTTCCCCAAGTACAGCGTGGGTACTGCCCAATTTCTCTCAAAAAGTCCTCTACGTCTTTTTCCGTGTAGTGCCTAATGGCGGAGCATTTAATAAATATTTTTTTTAATCCGAGCCTTCTCCGGGATTCGAACTCGTGTCCAATGATACGGCAACCAGCAACGCTAGTCACTATTCAAGCGGCTAAACTTAAGTCGAAATCCTGTGACATCTATATAGTATATACGTACGTGTTTTCCAAATGTTTATTTCCACATACATGGAAGTCTCAAATTCGAAATCTTCAAATTCTTGTTGAAGTTGATATGAATCAGTTTTACTTATAATACTTGACATAAATTTATTTTACATATAGTATTTAATGTTAATTTCTTTTTCATTTTTAGGCTGTTTTTACTACTTCAGTGCAACTGTGAATCCCATTCTCTACACACTGATGTCTTCTAAGTATCGAGTTGCATTTTGGGACACTCTCACTTGCATTGGTTACGGAAAGAAGTCCAGCAACGCTAGTATTTGCCGTACGACACACCAGCACAATAGTGAAATAGCTCACTCCGACAGAGAGCCATCTTTAAGGATATCTAAGCAGTCCTTTGAGGCGGATACCTCCATATCCCATCTGGTCAGAAAGGACAACCATCGTTCCCATCAAGAAAATCTTCTCACAGTTCCTGGTAAGCCTTGTTCTATCAAGCTGCAAGACTACGGAAGCATCCAGGATTGCGAAAATACTAATTCAGAATCGTCTTATGTCATCATTGGGCCAAAGGGCGAGCTAGGAGATGCCTTGGAGAACCCCGACGATATTCACGCAGCTTCGAGTCATTCCGAACTCAGTCACCATTCGACAAAATCAGTTTGCTCGAAATGTGATCGAACATCCAAGTGTGTCAAGAAAGAAATGGTTGTCCAAAACGCCGGACAGATCTGCAGTCGGTGCGTGGATGTGATGAGGGATTTTGGCAAGCACAACTCTTCAAACGATGGATTCAAAATATCATGTAAGCGGAATGAAACTGTCGTTTGATGTCAGTTGCTAACCAAATTACCAAAGACTGTGATCAAAAAGAAGTACTCAGTTAAACATATTTTTAAATTTATTTTAAGCCTATAAATTTCATCTGAATTTTCGCATGAATCTCGCGTTTCAATCACACGCCATTAGCAATGATATTTAAGTATTCGGAAACGTCTATACAGAATTCATTGAGTGGCTTTTGGGATGTTTTCATCATCAAAGAAAAGATTAAAAATACATTTATTAAAAACATTTGAATTCATAATGTATTAAAAAAGGTTTTTAGATCGATCAATATATTCTGTGTTTTAATGTTTTGTTGCTACATTTGCAGAAATATTTTATCGCAAATCTTATTATATTTTTGCCATCATGCCGATAAAAGTACGCAAGAAACTTTAAAATTGTTCGTATTAACTTCGAGCATGAGTTACGTCGCCATAACAGCTTTAATTATTTCGTCAGTTGCACAAATTATTGGAAACATCTCCATGAGGAAAACTGATTCTGACAGCAAAACGAAATTTGCTTGAAAAAATTAGTATAAGCAGATCGATAGGTTAGACATTTCATATTTTGTGCACATTAAACAGGCAATACAGGGTACTTTCTGGAGATTCTAAAATAACTCACTTTTATGCAACTAGCCATCTCTTGAAATCAATTAAAATACAAATTTTGATTCATAATATTACCTAATTAAGAAATAAATGAAATTTTCTATTTAGTTTTTACCTATCAATGTGTATGTCAGGATGGCTCATAGTAACGCTATAATTTAATTAAGTAATTAAGTAATTTAAATATCTCATTTTAGTGTTTTGTTTTTCTTTTTATCTTTAGGCCGACACTTTATGACGCATTTTTTTTTTTTTTTTTCTTTTTTTTTTTTTTTTCTTTTTTTTTTTTTTTTTTAATTTTGAAAATCAGCATTCTATTATTTTTGCATAACTATTGTGCCATAACGTTTTTACCATTCGGAACAGGCTTAGTACTCCAAAATTTACTGGTTGATTTAACATTTTCAGCGACAAATGCTGCATTTTTTAGAGTAATTTTTAAAATGGCCATAAATTTCTGATTTTCAAATTTTTATCGGTCATCATTTAAGATTTGGTTCCGAGACGCCCAAAGTTCCCAAAAATGTCATGATATAAAAGATATTTTCTTAATAAAACTCCAAGGTGCCACTTCTATTTTACTTGTGTACTCTTTCCCTTCTGACAAACATACTCTATTCAGAGGACACATGTTTAGATGCATGTACACAAAATTGCTTGGAAGTGCCAGGAAAAATATTCATTGACGTATTTATACGGCCTAGCCGGTCGAAAATTCAACCATTTTTTTCTGACATTATTTAAAAGTAAATGTGTTTGAAAATATGCTACGAAACATATAACTGTTTAAAATCAGTATTCGGCGCTCAAATCAAAAGTTATATCCCGATATTCTCATGAGAGTCATCAAGAATTCTCTGAATAGAGACAGTCAAGTCAAATTTAAAATGGCCACCATTTTCCAGATATTATTTTACAGAGTGTCAAATGTAAGCAACATAGAAAGAATTTTTTTTTTCATTTATTAATACCCAAAACGATGGGAATAAAACTGAGTTTCTCTTCCCTGATATTGTAAGGGTATAATTTAATTATTAGCTTGTTCACAGTATCTCAAATTTTACAACTTACAGTTCTGTTTAAGGTAGCTTTAATTTTGCGTAGTGATGCTCCAAGCAATGAATAATCATTTTGAAATTCATAATTATAAGTGCATTTAAAATATTGAATTCAAAATTCATAATTAAGGGTCAACTTATACGTAGATCATTTCCAAATTAGATTGTAAATCCCGTATGATTAACAAATGAAAATTCTACGTTATTTGTTAGATGTAAAGAAATAAAAATTTCAGCAAATATTTGATCATTTGATTCCTAAATTTATGATATTAATAACTATAAGTGTTATAATGTGTTTCCCCAGACCAAAAATACAGTTCCACTCGCGTCAGGTTCGAACTGCATATTTGCATTCTATTATATACATATATAGTGAAAATATATTATATATATATAATATTCAAATAAAAATTACAAAATTTTGTAGCTCTGAGATTTGTTAAATTTGGTAAAAGAGATCCAATGGAAATTCAGATGAAATGCCTAATGCGTCATTTTTCGGAAGAGAAATGTATATCTTGCACAAAAAAAGGAGGCAGTTCTATATCTCCCGTTCTACCGGGTCGATTGACGAAATTCAAATGGCGCTTTTCATATCTCGAAAGCGCGACTTACGATATATATTAAATTTATATACAGCGTTGTTTTATATAGATATTTTGACACAAAATCGGACTTTTTCTAAAATGACATGCCAATTTTTTTCCATATTTTGATTCTACGACTTAAATTACGCCTAAATATTAAATTTTGTGAAATGTGGTCGGAAACTTACCGAGAAATTTAAAAGTTTATCTCGGCTCACTTTTTTTCAATATGAACCATGAATAATTCGCTCGGCGAAATTCTTAATTTATAGCAACCTATTTTTCTTTCCCCCTTTTTTTATTGTGCACAAGCAGAAAAATAGATACATCTTTCATATTTTCCGATAACTTTAAAAAAGTACGTAAAGCATATTTGGCATTATTATCGCTTGTAACAAGTATGTCAAATTTCGAAACGTGCCACTATATAAACTTACGTATATCTTTGGACATTTTGAATAAAAAACTGTAATTGTTTTGCAGGTATGCCTAGAAATACATCTACTTCGAGATGATGGTGAAAATGTGACAGATTGTAATTCAAAAATATTTCCGAAACATTTATAAAAATTACTAAAAATTATAAATTTTAAAATCAGAAAATAGCTGCGAATTTTATTTGGATTAAACCTAAATTTCGAACTGTGAAAAAAAAGGAATCAAGTTTAATTTTAAAAAAAAGAGAGAGAGATTAAATAAATATATACCGCATTCAATTAGCATATACAGAAGCTAAAATATTGAGAGCAAATTTTTTAAAAACTATTCGTACGATTTTTCCAAAATGTGGCACTTTGGCATAATTTGGGTCGTAGAATCGAAATATGAACAAAAGTCGGTATGCTATTTCAGAAAAGTCCGATTTTGTATCAAAATAACTATGTTAGAACAATGGCTTTATATTAATATAATATGTATCCTAAGTCGCTCTTTCGAGACATCAGAAATACAAGTTAAATTTATAAATCGGCCTAGTAGAACGGTTATATATAGAAAAATCATTTTCTTTTCTTGGTGTGAATCGTACATTTTAAAGATGCTCACGGTATTATTGTGCGGACAACGTATTTTTCCTTTTGAAGACGTGATCTGAATTTTTCAAATGTTTGAGGAAACATGAGCATGAAAAAATAATTGCTAAAGGTCACCTCGGTTACTCGCCAAAATCGGAAAATGAATCGCCAGAAATAGCAAACTTAATTAACAGATTTTTAATATGTTTTAATTTTCAGGCTGTGTTACCAATGAAGTTGTTTTATCCACGATTCAGTATTTTTCTGACTCTAAAATGTTTACCACTTTTAAATTATAACTTGGAAAAGAAACAGTCTTTTACCTTTGGGGGGGGCGGGTATTTATAACCTGAAAAACCTATCTGATTTTCAAGCTCGGTTTAAATCGCATCATATCGTTTCTTCCTTACTTTTTTCTTTTAAAATGTTTGCCATGTATAGCTTTCAGCCAAGTAGAAGAATAAGCATTCTTCGTCGTAACGTTCATTCTTTCATAGTCTTCGTAATTTTTCCGATCTAAAATGTTAATTGTATTTAACTTACCATTAACTGGAAAAAGATGCCGGTTTTTAACCCACTTCTTTCTTTTTTCTTCTGCAAGGGCACAGAATTTGGCATACATAATTTGGCGGAATACGAAAATGCAAAGCTCGCCATCCTTTTATTGGAATGTGAAGTATTTGCAGATGCAAGTGAAAATTGCAGTGAATTCGGACCGACAATTTGGTTATGTTGTTCAACGATTCCTTTTTCTTACTGCTTTTTACCTCATATACGGTTGGGCTGAAGAATCAATTTTCCTTAGATGGTGCAATACATAGTTAAATATGGGTGAAAAACAAGAAGTGTTAATATTTCATCTTATAATAGCAGCAGATTTCAAATTACGGCAAGTATAAATAAAACGTTATTTTCTCATGTACATTCGATTTTTTATTTTTTGTATGCTGCCATATTGTTTTTAAATTTTCGCCAAATTAATTTTAAATGTCATCAAAGTGCTTACGATAGCCGCTTTAACAAGGAAGTACGGTTTTACATTGTGACTCCTCTATTTAATCACCACGTATATCAATAACGCGCTTATGCATCCTGAGCTCTGCCTGGGCTAAGTCGGAGGGATCAGGTAGATGGAAGAGTGAGGTGAAGCCACACCTTAAGTAAACCACAAAAGCAATTGCGTCATGGTGAAGAGATGCATTAGCTTTATGCAAGATGCGTCTCTCAATTTGCCCTGAATTCTTTTCCTCCGTTATGCAGTAAAAACTCAGTTATGCACTCAACTAGCTGGTTATTCCTAGTTGATTGTAAAACCTTTTGTTGTATTCCCTTCGTTTATGTTCTGGAGTAAAGTTTCTTGGGGCCAATTAAGCCCACACTTTGCTGACGGACAGCTTTTGATGGATGACGTATTGCACACTTATCGTCAAACCTGCAAACTTACACTCTTTTTACAATCATTTGATGATCGTCCATGTGATGTTTCGTCCAAAATGGATGTGATGTTTCGTCCTATCATCTGCAGCATGTCCTGATGAAGTTTTGTTGCAAATGGCCCTTCCAACAGAAATACCGTTTCACGGCCCTGTCAGCCACTCTCTTCTCTGTCACTTCATTCCTTTTCACTTGGAAAAAAAAGAGAGACAGAAGAAAATACGTCCGTTTTCTGAAACGACTCAAAGCTCCATCCTAACATCCTACAAAATTTTAACTACCTAGCAACCTTTCTTTCCTGCGAAAGCTGAACACCTTTTCTGCGTATAGTAAGAATATTTGTTTTAAAATTTTGAAAATTGTTAATTCTTCGTATTGGTGCCGTCCGAATTAAACAGTCAGTTTTAATTTCGCCTAATTTTATGAGGTGATGTGTAAGTACAATTTGCTTTATTCATTTCCTTCTTGTTATTAATGAAATATGAGAATAAGGGGTATTAATAAATTTCTAGTCGAAAAATAAGATGAATGGAACAACCGAATCCAATACTTCACCCACCTCCGATGACAATGTTGTATAATACCGATCATATTATAAAATACAATCTTCTCTGCCCCTTCTAAAGAAGGTGTATAAGTTTATATAACCAAAACAATTGTTTTGGTAAAAAAAACTTTAAATATCTATTTGTATATTTCACGTCATCTTTTCATGTTAACTTAACCATTTTTGATGGATTTTTCAAGGAATCTCTTCTTTTTCTGTAACAAATAAATTTACCATTTGACTTTAAATATATGGTGTTATTTAATGTTATATGAAACTGCCTGTACTTGTAAATATTCTTTCTGGAATGTATATTATATATTTATTTGAAAATAAAGCGACAAATTGTGAAAAATGTGTCAAATTCTTATAAATATAGACACATACATAGCTTAAGTACAGGAAAACTCGGAACTACTCTTATATACGCCCTCGCTTGGCGACAAATTTCTCGCCAAATATTTTTGGTGAGAAACTCCACGGTACCATATTACCATCTAAATATTTTGCCTAGATTTCGAACTTTAAGCCTAAAATGTCTCCAAAAACGCCGTTTTCGCACATGCAAAAACAACGTTTTCAACACATAATTTAAGCCAAAAATCCGAAAC